TCAAAACAGGGAAGAACCTCTGGCTCACTTTGAAAAACGCTTTTGTTTGTTTTTTGACTTATTAAAAGGTTAACTCGCAATCCACTCTAAATACTTCGCTTCGTTGACCAATCAGAATGCGAGATTTTGTTCAATTATGCGATTCTGCCATCGATCTTTTTCGCAACTGGTAGTGACGAACAAACAATTTTAATGCGAAATGAAAATTCTCCTTATGATCAAGTCCGGTTGACAAACTCCTCTGGAAGTGCCGCACAATAAGCAAGCCAATGAAAACACTGTGAAAGGCACTTGAGGCCATTACAGGTCGACAGGGTCAGGCCAATTCCGATCGAGGACGAGATAGTGTTTCTCCTTAGATGCACTAACAAAACAGGAACGGGAAAAAAGGAAACTTCAAGAGGATATTTCGTAAAAAGGACAAAAACCGCACTTAATTAACATTTGCCACAAATATTGACGGAATTTTGTGGTTTATTTAGGCTAGAATGCTAGCTTAACACGAAAGACTTTATCTGTACCATTTCGTCAAGTTTAAGTACATTTTTCCTTTGCATGGGATGTCTTTCCACAAATCAGCACAATTTATCGCCTTTCGAGTTCACATTGTAGGCATGAATTGACTTTTGTCAGGACCACTTATCGACGAGAATAATAATGAAAAAACCTTTGGAAGTTTTTTTTGTGTGGAATCGAGGAAAGAAGGAGAATAATTTGTGCGGGGCTGCTTGTTGCTTCTGCTAATTAATTTTCGGAAAAAAACCCCAGTTACGTCTATGATTCCTGACAGCCACGTGTCTGTATTTCAATCAAGCCGCAGCAACGAAGAGTTAGAGGCAACCAAGATTATTTGTATTCTTCCATATTCTAATGTAGCCTTCTCTTAGGTTTCGAGTAAAAAATGACAAAGCTTATGCTTGTCTTTTAAGATGTGTTTTCCTCTGAAGCCATTTTGGCAAGTTTTATTGGTAACATTTTCAAGGTAGGGTGAACGTTTCAAGGTTCAATGCCTGCTCTCTCTGTCCTAATGTGTCCCTCGCAGAAGGCGGGCCTTTTTTGTAAGGAGTATATGAATTGATAGTAAGAGTTACAGGTAATCTGAAAATCTTTACGAAAACGTGACACAAATGTAGAATTGCTTCCCCAGTTTGTGATGAGTTATTGATTTTAGTTGAAGGTTGGGGCAAATTATGCCACAAAAAAAATGCGACATTACCCTTAATGTTCTTGTTCCCTTATGCTGCGCGTACTTTCGCGAGACTCCCGCTCTGCGTGGAGACAGAAAAAAACTGCAATGCATGCTTAGAATTCACTGGAAATTCTCATTCACCAACTTTATTTCGAACCTCTGTTTAAAGTGATATTACAAGATTTTAGATCATCCCAATCGTTTGCATTTACAATCTCCATCCCTGATGTTCATGTAGTCGTAATTTTTGTTTACATCTCCGCACATAAATCCACTCGAGTCGCTGCAGTCCTGGCCTCCAGTGCAGTGTCAAAATTAGTAGTACCAAATTCGATGTTTTACGAAATTAAATGGCTCATTATTGAATGGGTCACAAAATTGAATTACGGGTGGATTATTGCAGTTGGATTGTGTCAAAATTAGTAGTATCAAATTGAATGGCTCATTACTGAATGGCTCATTACTGAATGGCT